CAAAATTTAGTATACTTTTCTCACAAAACTCAGCAAAAGAAGGAAACTTCCTAATTTCTTACTGACCATCCATTGAAAACTTATAGTCATCATCATAATGGTGAATTAATGACTGCTTTTCCCCTCTGATCGGAAAAAAGGCAAAAATGTACACTCTTACCACCTCTATTCAACTTTTTACTGAAAGTCATAGCTAGAGCAAATTGACAAGAAAAAATATAAAAGGCATAGAGATAGAAAAGGTAAAACTGTCTTATTTGTAGATAGCATGGTCCTGTATATAGAAAATCCTAAGGAATCAACACATAAGCTACTTGAAGTTTTTAGCAACTATTTAGGATCCAATGAATGTAACCAAAATCAATTGTATTTCTGTTAGTATGAGAAATTAAATGTAAAAATACTGTTTATAATAGCATTCAAAAACTTGAAACACTGAAAGATAAATTTCAGAAAGTATGTTTAAGACATGTATCTTAAAAACTACAAAGTACTACTTAAAATTTACAGACATAAATAAATGGAGACATGCCATATTTGTGGAATGGAAGTCTCAATATTGCTAAGGTATCAATTCTCCACAAATTAATCTATAGATTCAACTTAATTGTGATCAAACTCCCTACTAACATTTTTTTTTGGTAGAAATTGACTAGCTGATTTTAAACATTATGTGGAACTTAGAAAACTAAACATACTCTTACCAAACAATCCAGCAATTGTGCTCCTGGGTATTTAACCAGAGAAGCTGAAAACTTATCCATAAAAAAAACCTGCACATGAATTTTATAGTAGCTGTATTGGTAATTACCAAAACTTGGAAAGCACCAAGATGTTTTTCAGTATATGGATGGAGAAATAAACATCCAGATAATGTAAGATTATTGAGTGCTAAAAAGAAATAAGCTGTCAAACCATGAAAAGACAAGGAGGAAACTTAAATGTATATTACTAGGTGAAAGAGGCCACCCTGAAAAGGCTAAATACTGCATGATTCCAACTTTGTGACATTCTGGAAAAGGCAAAACTAGGGAGAGAGTAAAAGATCAGTGGTTGCCAGGGGTTGGAAGTAAGGTTTGGGAAGGAGGGATGAATAGGCAGGACACAGAGGAATCTCAGGGCAGTGAAGCTACTCTGTGATACTAAATGGTGGATACATGTCATACATTTGTACAAACCCATCGAATGTACAGCATCAAGAGTGAACCGCAATATAAATGATGAACTCTTAGTGATGATGATGTGTCAATGTATATTTATTGACTGTAACATATGTGTCACCTCTGGTGAGGGATGTTGATAATGGGGGAGACAATGTCTGGAGGCAGAGAGTATACAGAAAATCTCTGAACCTCTGCTCAATTTTGCTGTGAACTTAAAAAAGCTCTAAAAAATAAAGTCTATTTAAAAATAAAAAATAACATGTTCAGCTTCACTGATATAGACACTTATATTTTTATGCATATATAAATGCAAAAGACCTAGAATAGCCAAGGAAGTTGTTTTATAAATTAGTATTGTAAGATTTACATTACCTTACTTTGAGGCTTACTATAAAGCTACAGTAAGAAAGACTGTGACAGTGGCATAAGGATATATACATGTCAATGCAAAGAGCCCTAAAATAAGCCCGCACATGGTTAATAAACTTTAGAAAAAGGAGCCAAGGTAATCAGATGAGGAAATGATATCTTTCTCAAGAAATGGTACTGAAATGAATGGATATCTGCAGGGGAAAAAGAAAGCCCTTACCTAAGGCTTTACTTCAGAGTAAACACCAAAATTTACTTGAAATAAATCATAGAACCAAGTGTAGATGCTAAGACTATAAAATAACTAGTAAAAAAGAAAAAAATAAAGAAAATCATGTTCACAACTTTGATTAGGTAAAGATTTCTTAAAGGACAAAAAAATTATTAGATGTAAATGAAAAACAGTAAATTGGACCTGATCAGAATTAAACACTCTGCTCCTTGAGAGCAGTCAAGAAAATGAGAAGTTACAGATTGAGAACAATATATACTAGATCAAATATATTTGACAGAGGACTTTTCTCATATTTTCTTTTAAATATGCATTTAAATTGTACAACTTAATATGTCAAAGCAACTAGAAAAAATGAGCAAAAGATTTGAGCAGACATTTCACAAACGGAGATATACAATGCCCATTAAGCCCATTTCAGCATCAACAGTGAGATATCACTATGCAACCACTAGAATGGCTAAAATAAAATAATATTAAGTGTTGGTAAAGATGTGGAGCATCTGGAACTCTAGTATATTGCTGAGGGAAATATAAAATGATGCCAGCGTACTGGAAAACAGTTATACAGTTTCTTATAGGATTAATGACATACTTATCAAACAACCCAATAATATCACTCCTAGGAACTGAGAAATATAAACATGCCCATGCAAACACTGTATTCAAATAATCATAGCAGTCTTAATAGCCCCAAACTGCAACAATTCAAATGTTCTTCAACAGATGAGCCTATAAACAAATTGTGATATATCCATACAATAGAATACTATTCAGCTATGAATACTAGTGATATAAGCAACAACATGACTGTATCTCCAAAACATTTTGATGAGTGAAAGAAGCCAGACCCAAAAGATTACTATTTTATTACATTTATATAAAATTTGAGAATAGCTAAAACTAATCTGCAGAGCCCAAAATCATATCAGTGGTTGCCTGTATTTGGGGATGGGGGTTGGGTGATTTACTGCCAAAGGGTGGAAAGGAAACTTTCTGGGATGATTAAAATAGGCTGTATTAATTGGAGTAATTGTCAGATGGGTGAGTATAAAATGGGTGCATTTATTATTGTAAATTGTGCATTAATCAGATTTGTTTTTACAAATTATAGCTCTGATAATACTAGTTCTGCACCTTAACTTTGGTTATATACTTTTTTAGTTCTTTCCTTATTTAAATCAAACAAGTAGTGTTGATAGTGGAGATCAGTCTTATTCTCAGGCATTTTTGTGTAAAATAGGTAGCCCAAGCAGCTGGACTGACCCGAGAAGACTGGATGCAAGTATTGATTATAAAAATTAATATGCAAGAGTGTAAAGGAGAAAATGATAGAGAAAACACGATATATTTCTATTCTACAGTTAGAGTTAGCAACTCTACTATTCCGATTTTCCTTTTCTGTTCATTTAGATCAACTGATTTGAGTTGAGGCCATGATATTGTTGAGTGAAAACAGTCATTTTGAGTGTAGAAATTGATTTAGAAACAGCTTAGGGTGCTTCTCTGCTATTAGAGATGCTTGAAAAACACTTTCAAGCAAAACTAAAGAAAATGACAAATATTAGAGTTTTAATTATAATAAACACTTGAATATTATACATTTTATTATTGCTATATATTATAGTAATAAATAATGTGGTATTTAAGTGTGAAAACTTGGATCAGATTCTATTTTGCAAATTTCTACATTAAGGCAAAAAGATCATAAAGTTTCCTGGTACTGACGTTAATAGATCTAAGGAAGATTGAAGGATGGGTCTTGGCTAGTGATTCCCAATCAATCTTATTATGGACAATACCCCCTTTATTTTACTGAAAGGAAATTTATAGATTATATAACATAACTTCAATATAATATTTCAAATATCAATATAATATCAACCTACAAAAAATTTTTAAAAACCCATCTATATAAAACACTATATTTCAGTATGTAAATGCTTAGGGAAAACTACCTTAATAGGCACAAGGCAATAGAAGTTTGAACCTATTCCTAGAGTCACCAACACCAATTGATAGGATATTGGTATTTATATTGTCCTGGTGACTCAAATACCATGAGCAGGATTATCAGTGATGCGATTTTTTCTGAAATGGTAAACAAATCTTGGTAATATTTAAAAACAGAAACTAGTTCATTTCCTTAATTTATATAGTAGTATACATCCAGGTAAAAACCACAAAAAATGTTTTATGTGCAAACAGACTTATGTTAGGTTTCAAATACAATGCAAGGTTTTTACCTGCATGAATACCCAGTGGCCCATTCAGAAGTCTGAGAGGGACAATTTATGGTGTAGGATTGTCCTGTTCACTGTGGGACAAATAGCACCCTGACCCCACAGTACACCAATGCCAATAGTAACCCCCCAGTACCCCTTCCTGAGTAAATGGAAAGACATCCTGCAAGTCTCATAAAACCCATTAAGTAGCTGCTTCAAACCTTATGAGAACCACTGACCTAGGCCATAAAAAACAAACAACAAAAACCTAGTAAGGAGTTGTCATCTGAACAAGAGTGGCAGAGAAACTTGCAGAAGTTGAGTTAAAAGGAAGAAACGGACTGGAAGAGATGAAATTTGGAGTCTGAAAGGAAACCATTGCAAAGTACTTCATCCCCTTGAAACAGAAGTCTCCTGACTAAACCGAAAGCCTTAATCTAACCATTACGTTGTCAGAACATTTCAGTGGAGCAATTTTATTTTGCCCTTCCTTTGCCGCCCTGCAGCAGTCTACCAAGCAGTCGGTCCCCTGGCCTGCAGAGCAGCGTCCCCGGAGGACACCTTCGGTCTCCCAGGAACTCCACAGTCACACTGGCCCCGTTGGTCCCGTCTCCACCTGGATACACAGCGGCTGCACAAGGCTTCGCCAGGCCTTTCTCAGGATGTAAAGTTCCTGACTGTTCTAATATCCTACAAACAACGCTTTCCATCTGTAGGGGTCTTACAGAGCCCAAAGTGCTTTCAGAGCAATTATTTTCTTTAATTTAAACGAAGTTCAGTTAACAGATCGAGCTAAGGAATGATCCCGTCTCCAAGGGAAGCAACGCTGGAGGAAAGGGGGACCCTTTAAGGGCCCGTGCCCGGGCGTGTGCGGGGCCGGGCGCCCGAGAAGTGGGGCGTGGAGGAGTGTCCTCTTTCTCCCCGCACCCTCGGGCGGCGGCTGAGCCAAAGCCAGAGGGGGCTGTCCCCTCCTCTTCCCCAGCAGCTGCTGCTCACTCGGCTCAAGAGCCAGGGCCAGGGGACAGGGCGGCAGCGACTCCTGCAGCTCCTGAGGAGTGGATCCGCTCGTGGCCACCACGATGCCAGGATCCGCCGGGGTCCTCGTCCTCCTGCTGCTGACCGGGGGCCTGGGGGGCGGCCGGGCGCAGCGGGCGCAGCAGCAGCGGCAGCCACAGGCGCATCAGCAAAGAGGTACAGTCGAGGCACGGGCTCTTGATTACGTCCTTTGGCGGTCCCTTCTTCGGAGAGTTGCAGGCTGGGGACCGCTTTCTTGCTGTGCCTTTAGGGAGTGCGCTTTGGGGCAAGTGGTGCTAAGCTTGATGCAAGTTCACGTTCAACTCCCTGAGTGAGTGGAGTAGGGGGAATTACCTCTCTCCAGCAAAGAGAACGCGAGCGCTTTTCATCTTCCTTCGTTTCTGAGAGGTCTTGGTATCACTCTACATCTTGCAAACCGTTTACCGAAGTCTTTCCAAGAGCAAACTTTTTTCCAATTAAAAAAAAAAGTTTCTCCAAATTAGATTCTATTCCTGCAGAGGAAGATTTCCCAAGCTGTGGTTCATCTAGGAACTTTATAAAAGGCAGCTGATGTATCTTTTGTTTTGTTTTATTTTGTTTTGTTTAAAGGACTTTGTTTCCAAGTATTTGAACAGGATTTATAAATTAGTTAAGTATGTGGATTTTCTCTTTCATGGCAATGGTGCCTCCAGCCTCACCTTTTCCATACCCACGTCGTATCTTGATATCCTATTTTATTGTAGAGAAATTTCTCTTCTTGCTTAAATACAGAGGAGACTTCTCTGTCGTGTGTATCATAAGGCCACAGTAACCAGTTATACATTTTAGAGGACTTTGGAAAACAGTTGTGTTTAATGTAACTTCAATTATTCTCATCAGAGCACCTTCATGTTTATAGGCATATCATCTCTAAAGCTCTTGAGAGTCTTTGAAGACTTTTATTATTATGAAATTTTAAAAAGGCCCATATGCAGCATTTTAAAACACAATGTGTTACAGAGTATTTCAGCAAGCATTTTTGTAAGTTGAAAAACTTGAAGTAAAAAATAGTTAAGAAACATTTAAGATTTGGTGTCAAATATCAAATACTTACCCTAAGAGTACAGCATCTAGAAGTTAGAAGCTTTTAAAAGTTTTGATGAGGCTGAATCTGCTAAAATTTTGAAATATATTTATCTCTCTGCTAGTTAACTTCTAGTTAACATGTCAAATAGTTCTGATAGTTCTTATGAACTAGTATTTTTAGCAGTACTATTTTTTTTAAAGGAGTAAAAAGATACCCACCCTAAACTCACTGCCATAATAATAACTCCCTGATTAAAATTCCTAGGATAAAAATGACCTAAAGTTCACTATATAACTTTATTCTTCTATTTTTCCTTTTACTTGTTTGAGAGGTAAAATAGGGTCAATGTGGCTTAATTAATAGAATTTATGAGGCAGCAATTTTGAGAATTTCTCTGGCAGCTAATTTTTAAAAGTACTACTTTTGACTATTAGTATTTGCTCAATTATATGATGTATTTTAACAATATGTAATACTTTTATACTGTTAGGCAGCTACTAGAGAAGAGGGTCAAGGGACACCATCCCTTCTGTTCACTTGGAATGGGGCAGAAGCTCAAAGCATACAGAGTAGGGATCAAGTGGGTGTCCTGAGAATTTTCCCAGGACACACACACACTCTCCTCTTTTCTCTCCTCCCATTTACTCTTTCTTTCAATTTAGGTAAAATTAACTCTGATATCTAAGGTCCAGGCACAGGATGAGATGAATGCAGAAGAAAGAGTTTATAATGCCGTTCAGTTGACAGATCATTTGGATGCTATATACAATAGGGAATTTTATGAAAAACAGTGATAACACAGAATCTACTACAGACTGCTAATTGTGCATTCTGATGTCTATTATTGTCTTTATTATAGAACATTTGCAATATATTTGGAGGTTGGCTCAAGGATAAATGGTTAAAATTTGTTAATATTAAACATACATATAAAATATATTTCATGATACCTAAAATTTGCAAGTACTTTATAATTTAAAAATGCCTTATATACATGATATTTTTTTCACCTTCAGTTTTTATTCTTCTCATTGGACAAATTTAAAACCTGTGGCTTGGAGTAGCTGTGATTTAACTGTTAAGAACAACTTAATTTTCAATAAGTAAAGACACTTTCAGTATTGTTTATGGAGAAGTTCCCTTTTTACAGTTTCAAGGTTTCTTTCCATTTATTTTTTGAGGCTGTGTTTCCTTTTCAGTGTTGTTCTGTTGAAGCAAGCCTCCGTGGAGATCGCTGGATATGAGTTTGACTGAAGAAGTGTTTTCTTGGCTATCATCAACTTTTCTGTTTTCGATTATACTAGCACTGACCTTCCTGGCCAAGTACTAATTGTGCAGGAGTTCTGTTTTCCCTTATAGTATGGTGCCAATCTATTAAGAATGTTGACACGAAACAAGAATTTTTAGATGTTGTAATCTAAGCTTAACCAGATTTTTGTTTTTTATTTAAAGTCTTATGGGGTTTCTATAACATACTGGATTGTAGTATGAATAGCATCGATTCACCAAGTATTATATTCCAAGGAAATTCTTTAACTAAAGATTGACAAAAAAAGGAAATGATGTGGTCAAAGTGACTCTGCATTTCATCAAGGCAGTCGATAAAATTTTTCTGACATTCTTGTGAATAATATATGGAAATGGAAGCATAGTGGTAGATAAATAGAACTGATTGGAAGATAGTTTCCAAAGAATACTGCGTAGTGGATCCAGGTCAACCTGGAAAGAAGTCTTTATTAGTGTGACAGAGGTTTTCTTATGTTCACCTATCTTGGTAATGGCTTGATGTAAAACATAAAATTCAAGATTATTAGAATCACTGGTGGTCCAATATTGATTACGGTGGCTAAGCTTGTTAATAACAGGTCCAGTAATTTTAAAGGTCTCTGTAGTCTGGACCATGAGCAGAACCTACATGGGGTTTTTTGTTTTTTTAAAAAAATTCATATCCAGATGTTAAATAATTCCATTTTCCCTCTTCTGGAAATTTCTTGTGTCCTTACATGTTTACATGTACAGGAATGAGTACAAAGACAAGATGAGAAAGACCAGTTTGAATTGCAGCAAGTTCAGTATGAAAGTGGAGTGTGACACAGTGAAAGAATAGTTAACTCACTTTCATGCAAAGCTCATACAAGCAGATGGGTCTGTTGGTTAACACACATTTAGGTACTCCATTGACAAACAGGTGTAAATTCAGAGGAGAAAGTGTAGAATGAAATCTTCTCAAAGAAGGAATGTTCCAAGTAAAGACTTTTAATCTGAAGAAGGAAAGATTTAGGGAGAGGAAGTCATAAGAGATATCCTCAAATTTTTAGAAGGGTTGTTATATAGAAGAGGGACTAAAATGTCCTTTCTAAAGGCTGAACTGGAATCCATAGAATACGACAAAGAGGAAGGTTTGACTTCAATAAAATAGGGAAATTTGCTCCTTGTCCATACTCTCCCACTACCCACCACTCCCCATTGTGAACTGTTCAGAAATAACTGGGCTGTGTTTGAGCATCTTGTTTCTTGAAACGTCCATGCACAGCTAGTCAGGGATGCTTTAGGGTGGGATACCTCTACTGAAAAGAAGCTAAGACTCATCAAGTCTTTAGTCCTTTTCAAATTTTAAGATTCTGTTATTATAGTCTATTGTTTTTGGAGTGAATACTTGTGTTTAAATTTCTAAATTCACAAAAATGTCAAGAAAATGTTAAATATATGTAAATGTGGTTTTTAGATGCCTCTGGGATTTAAAATAAAAACATGTTTGAGACAATGCTCATAAAGTTTTGGCAAGAATACTTAAAACTTTAGTATGGAATTTCTACAATACCGTCAATTGCATAGTTCTAAAACATCCTGTGTTTTAAAATGTGAGAACAGTTTATAAATTACCTGAGAAATTTTCAGGAGATTTATTGTGGCCATAAACCTGGAATTAATTATTTTGATATTTTCTTTTGCTACATATATAACTTTTTGGCTTGTTCACTACATATTGTCTTAATAGTTTAGTAAAAATGATTCATAACAGATAAAATGTATGACTGAGAATAAGAACATATTCAACATTGATTATTATAATACATATATAGTAGAATTAATAAAATTGATATAAATTTTATATTATATTTTATCTCATAACAATGTATACAGATTTCTGGTCTATCTTATTCTTAAGATTTTTCTATCCTAGGATTTCATGCAAAGTAATGAACTGAGTCTTTATGGAGTTGCTGAGGATTATGAAAAAATTGCACATGCTTTGCCAATTCTTCCTCAAGTCACTTCAGTACTCTAGCTCCTGAAATAAGGGACAACTGGCACTTATACTATAATAACTACAGTTTCATCTTCTGCAGATATAGTTATTTTAAAACTCAAATAAGTATCCCAAGAGTTCTATCCAGATACGACTGCTGTAAGAACACAAAAAGTCTATATTTTATGGGTGGGATTTAGTAAAACAGGAAGAATTTCTGAAGTAGTAGGTTTTGGAATTCTTATCATACCTTTCTACTATATTGCAATAGTTATGACTCCAAAAAATTTACTTTTTGGTGGATTTCACATCTCAATATTTTCTCAGTCCCCATTTATCTAAAGCAGAGCATTATCATTGTTCTTCCATTTGTACATTTAATAAATAGTAATTATTCATTGAGAGTGACTAATGCACTAGACGTTTCAACTTGGACATCTGAGATTGAAGTATTATTATCATTACTATTATTTTTTTGGTCCAAATAGATTTGGCAGTGAACTATTAAAAATTTCACTTAAACTTTATATGAAGTCTTACATCTTCTTTAATAATTTTTCTTTTTAGATTACGGAACCATAATTCTGGCCATAGTGGACGGGGAAGAATTGGGACCTAATGGGGTCCAGAACAGGGAAATTAATCTCAATCTAACCTATGTATAACAAGACTAGTGGATGGCTAGCTGTCTAAATTATAAAGTCCAAAAGGTATATCAAATGCATGCTTGATTCAAGTCGAATCCAATTGGATTCTACTTTGTGGGTAGAGCATGACTGGAAGAGTTTCCAAGAAGGATAAAAAAAAAAAAAAAAAGAATGGTGACTCCAGGTAATCTGTTCAGTTTGCAGTGGGCTATTA